TGGCAGCCGGAACTGTATACAGTATCCCAAGTGTGGTCACAACATGGATTTAAATAAAGACATTATGACATTGGCAGGTTTATATCTGATTCCTTTCCTAATGATCTTTAGTAGGCAATTTGCTCTTTTTATAGCTGGGATGACATTTTCTTTGGCTTCCAAGATACCTTTCCTGGTCAGTCACTGACCGCTCACAGCATCTGTGTATCTGTGAGGTTAGGAGCATTTGTTTGATGTGGATCACTTTGCACTGGCTTATATTAAATATAATTGGCCACTTGTTTTCCCAAGTTGTCTTTGAGTTGGGCTCCTTTACAGTCTGAAGTACTCTAAGTGGTGACAGTGGCAAGAGCCCTTTCTGTTTGGCATGCTGCTGATTGGGTGCATTCTGCCTGGCTTTACCAGCTTTGTGATATTTCAGTACCAAGAATCAATCAATATGCCCAAATGTCCATCCATCCACTCACCCATCCATCTCTGGGATCTAATAGCATTGCTATTTTATCTTACAGTGCTATTGTTACACTTTTATTACATTGCAAACTGCCCTGAAAATTTGTCTGTAGTGGTACCAAATGTTTAAACAAAGTAGGATATACTACTAGGTTGTAATCTTACATGCAATTGGAACTGCATCTAAGTGAATTGCGCCATACAATGCAATCTAATGCCTGTCACCTCAGAATTAACTCCAAAGGAGTTCAGACATACTTATTTCTTGGTGTGTGCATTAAGTATTGCAACACTAGATTCAATTCACTTGAACTCAGTTCTTGCTTTTGTTAAACTTATACAGAACAGTAGTATAAGATTTCACAGATGGCTGAACACAAGGGTAAAATTCCATGTTAGTCATACTTAGAGTGAGCCCAATAAAAGAAATAGAACTTAAGTTAGTTACGACTCAACTGTCATTCATTTTGATAGGAGTATTCTAAGTATGAGTTATGTTGGGTTTTATCCAGAGTAGCAAACTGGTAGATGCAAAAAGCATAATATTAATGCATAATAGCTTGCATGGCTGCACATGAGGTGCATATTTTATGTGGTCAGTTTTTGTAAAAATTAGCACGAACAGAGATGCCTTGAGTTAACTTCTAAGCCAACAGTTAGAATGTTGGCTTAGGGATCAGAAACTGATGTCTCAATATTTTATATTCTTTTTGTTGTTGTTTTCATCATAGACATTAGTAATTCTTTAACAACAGAACAGACAATTGACATGTCTTATATGGTTTGTTTCAAGGGAAATTTCCCCTTCAAGTAACTGGTGTCAATTCTGAATGCTGAACATAGCACTTTTAGCATGAAAACCTGTTAAAAAAGACAAAAAAGACATGACATATTTCATGTTACCATTGATCTTACAGGGATAAATAAAAGTATTTTCTGAGGCAGAAAACCAATTTTCTTTCAGGAAAGGGATAGAAGAAGAAAAATGTTATTCAGCTGGAAATTCTATCACGTTATTTTCCAAAACATTTCTTAGTTCCATACCAATGACTGTATATTATTCACCAACATTACCGAATGAAGCTTTGCTTGGTGTGATAAAGTTTGCAGCACTCATTTCTTCATATTCTGATTGCTTTTGGCTCATTATTGGTATAGGCTGGAAATTATATCTGCCAATCATGAGAGAGAAATTATATTATTATATAAATGCTGCACCACCCCTTGTCCACTCTCACTTTTTTTCACTAGTAAATTCAGGGTTCTCAGTCCTTGAAAACCTTATGGGGTGTTTCATATACCACAAAGCAAGTCCAAGTTTGCTGCTGAATGTGCATTCAGCCTGAGTAGCAACCAGCCACAGGTCTCCAATGAGTGTTCTTGTGACCCACATAATTTTTTTAGATATACACTTAAATGAAATTATTAAATATACTTCCACACATGTCTAAAGAATCCCTGTAGTTGTAAGCCACTAGTCTCCCTCTGGTAACAATTGACACAGCAGCTTTCTTTGTTTAATTCTGTTTATTGTTGTACAATCTTCTGAGCATACACCAAGTACAGAAGTGGAACCCTATCTGCTGTTCATTAATCAAAGCCTCCCTTATGAACCCTTCTGTGTGTCAACCCAGAAGGAAGAGCACTGCAAAAGTGTGGGTGCCTGTAGCCCTCCCTCGGTGCATTCAACTGGGGTTGGCACTGATTTTGGCATCGAGCCAGTGGACTGGGGATCATGGGCATTTCAGCATCCTGCCCTGGGGTTGGTACCTCAACACCCATCATGCCAATTTAACTAGTGCATGACTCCATATGATTAACTCCATATGTAGTGAATTTTAATAAAGTCTGCATGAAATGAACATTTTAACAAGACAAGAATTGCTCAAAGTTTCAGAATATGGCACCTTTAAAATTTGATAATTCTATATAAAATTAGATATAAATTACATATAGACTATAGGCAGTCCCTGGCTTATGAATGTCCAAGTTATAAACAACTCGTACTTATGAGTAAACTGGCATACAGCCTATTTTTATTTTTTTAATACTGCCGAAAATCATCATCATCACATACAGAGAGAAGGCGAAAGAGGAGAGAAGGAGGCCTCCTGGCGGGGAGACTAGAGATATTCATAATTTTTCCACAATCACAGGGGTCCTGGGCCCCTAATTCCCATGAATGTGGAGGGTTGACTATACGTAATTGGACTTACATACAAGTTCGACTTTAAGACGAATTTCTGTTTTTGCAGGAACAGAACTCTTTCATAACCCGGGAACTGCCTGTATATATAATTTTTATAAAATTTGTAAAATTTCTTCCACTGTACAACCTGTAAAACTAGTGGAAGGATTCTTTCTGTAAGTATGAAAGGCCACAATCGAGGGCCCAGAGCAGTTCATTTTAAGCATTACATTTGGGGGCAGTTCTCATGTCATATGAGTCATGTGCCTTGTTTTCAATATAGCAGCCTTCTTTCCTAATGCATTTGGATAGTCATTTCAAAACATGTAGTATGGCTCATATACAAAGGAGATATATCATAAAGCAATAGATCCACCCACTATCCCAATTTACTATGCAATCCTAGACATGTTACTCAGAAGTTAGCCTCATTGAGTTCATTGGGAATAACTCCCATGAAAGAGACTTAACTTGGTGAATCACAGGATTATGGGTTGCATCCAGAGCAGAATTCCAGGGACACTTGTACTGATGGCTACAGTTCCTCTCCTACTTGGTCTCCCATTGTGTTCCCTGAAAAGATGCTCTGAAGCACTGGGGACCGTTGAATTGGCAAAGGAGATAGAATGGGCTGCACCCCGGTTATGGGAGGCACTCCCCAGAGAGGGTCGCCTGGTGCCGGGCTAAAACCATTTTATTTACCCATTATGCTATGCTTCATTTTTATCCTGCCCATTTTTATCCTGTTTTTATTGTAAGACCATCCTGAGACAGTAGTAGTTGGAGAGTATACAAAAACCTTAAACAAACAAACAAACAAACAAACAAATGGCAGAAGGGTGAGCCAAGTTCCAGATGACATTCCGTTCACAGAAGGGAAAGTCTAGATTCAACTCTATTTTCTCCCAGCCTAAACCTTCCCTTTCTCTAGAATATTCATAAGGAATCCAATTATGTTTTTTAAAATAAGCGTATGTATAAAAACATTTTTTTCTATGGTCTTTTGGCCATAATAAGGGCTCCCAGTGCATTTTCAAGAATAACATCTCAACGTGCTTGACAAGAGAAAGCATTAAAACCAGCGTAAAACAGTTAAAATAAAGCTGTGACACTTTAAAATGCTCTAAAAGCCTGGTGGGATAAGAATGATTTATCTGCCTTCAACTGCTTAACTCTGTGTTGAAGTTACTGCTCAAATCCAATCTTTCGTAGCAGGATGCACACAGAGACAGAGCTCTGGGTCCAGGCTATGATGTCTCTTGCTGCCATGGCTACCAACATCTACATCTCATTAAGCTCTGAGCACCGATCGGTTCAATTGGCTTCTCACAGATTCAGCTTGTGCAAAAAACTACATAGACACTCACAGAAGTACAACAATGAAAGTACATAATAGGGTCATTATTGGGAAGTCCAGATCAGTTCTGTTCTGGTTGGAGCATGCCAGGAGTTGCAGGTCTCTTTCTCTCTCTTTCTGTCTAAACCTGCATAGAATTGTGCCCTAGAAACAGATGTACCACAATCTAGTTCCTGGATACATTTTTCAACTCCTGCCTTAAAATACTATCTGCCCATTACAGTAGGATTATAGGGCTTCTGCTAAAAAACTAGGGATTCACATGAACGCTCATTATATATAAACAATTGCACATAGATCTCAAATATTGTGTATACATGAAGTGAAATCAAAATCAAAGCAGTCCTTGATCATTTTTCTTAAAGATAAGAAATAATTTATTTCTCTTTGATCTTCACAATTAGCACATATTACCTAACTACACGACCAACGTCATTACATATCACGGGAGAATTCCTCACCAACACCTTACTTGAACAAAGACAATTGCAATTTTAAAATTAAATGTACTGTACAAAGTGCTGTTGAGACAAAACACCATTCTTAAGCTTCATGAAATGTGGCAAGTGATTTATGAATTGATGAAACATACAACATTAGAAAATTTTAACTGCCAAAAAGCAAGAATAAGGTATAAAGCATTTGCTTTGGCATTGTAGTTTTAGTAAAGTATTAAAAAAGAAAGCTAGAGGAAAAAACCCAGTTCTTAATTTCCAGTACATAAAATTGGATACGAAAGTAATTTGCTCCTTCCTATTTAAAGTTTTGCTCTTTTTTAAATAGAAATGAATATTATGAATATATTGCAGAGTAAAGAAAGACTGCAAAATTACCAGTTAAAGAAAATACTATTGTATGAAAAACAAATGTAAAATTACCAAGTAATTTGCTTACAAAAAAGGTCAAACTATAAACAGTCACCAAATATATAAAAATGCCACTTTGAACGAGGCAATTGTACTCTACCAAAACTGGTAGAAGTCTTTTCCAGAATAGACATATTCATACCGTAGTAACTGATAAAAAAGCATTGTGCACTCTTGTGTCATCTGGAGATTTAGCACCGTGCGTCATAAGTTCCTGGATAGTCATCCAGTTGTCCAAGATCTTCTTGTTCCTCTTTTTCATCATCTTTTTATGACTCAGTTCAATGATGTTAATTTCCTTTTTGCCCTCACCGCTGCTTTGTGGGCTTTCTTTAAGACACTCTAACCTGCTGCGCATCATGAATTCCCGCCTCCTCCTCTGTTCCTTGGCTCGCACCAAGTGTTGCTTCCGCTCCTCTTTGCTCCAGTAACGACCCATCTTCATTTCGCTCATTGTGTCATCATCTGTTGTCATCCCACTGCGCTCCTCCTTAATCTTTAAGGCACGTTCCTTCAGGATTCTGTCTCTTACTGGTCTTTTTGTGATATACCGTGTCCCATCACTCCTTATTTTCACTTTCCATTCCATCTTGGGTTCTGTGCACTTCTGTGAATCTTTGCACATGTTCACCAGGCTGAGTTGGCTCTGGGCATACTCCACAGCAGATTTTTGTTGTATCAGTTGCATATAGCTTTGATAATGCTTAGCATGTGCAGGTATACTCCCAAACCGGTATGAAGAACTGTGATACGGAGACAGATAAGGAATATGCTCAGGGCTTTGCTTTTCTTGTTCTGTAGACTTGCCGCTTTCTGAAACCGTTTCCTTTTCCTCGACAGAACTGTTCTGTTCAGTAGCTTTGGCTTTGTTTGGGGAGGTCTCTCTGCCACTCTGTCTTGAAGACAGCTGGCTGGCCACAATGGTACTCCTGAGGTTTTTCCTATTGGTGATACTTATCATTCGCTGGAGAGAACTGTCAGGAGATTGTCCGACATTCAGCGGAGTGCTTCGACAGCTCTCTGCGGTATTGTAGGCACTGGAACTATCTTTGTCAGATTTCTCTGGATGCTCCATTATGTCATCCAGTTTTCCTCCTGGAAGGTCTATACTGGTGTTATAATTCCTGAATGTACCACCATGGAGTGCCCAAATGTCTCCATACTGATCCTTTACTTTTTGTAGCCGGTGAGCCTGCATAATGCTTTGACACTCAAGTTCAATGTTCCTCAGTTCCTCATTGAGCAGCTGAAGTTCATGCTCAACCCCATCTTTTTGCCTTCTGTTACATTCTATTGTACTGCTTGAATAGTACAAGTCGTACTCTCCATGATTTCGGATCTTGCACTTGAGCTCCAGGAGTTGGCGAAACCTTTCACAGTCCTCTTCCTGATTACCAACAAAATCAGACTGAGCCGGTTCCCCAGACACCAGACTCTTGTTGCACTGGATTTCCATGCTTCCCAAAGTTTCCTGGCTCTGTCCAAGTTCCCGTTGGCTCTGCAGAGCTGCATTGTTCTTCTCCTCTGGTGGATTTTCTTGCTCCGAGCTCTCATCATTGCGCTGGCTCTCATCCGTGGGGCCCACTCCACTGTCTTTCTCATTGTTGTTGGATGATGAGGTAGCAGTATCTGTGGTGCCGTCTTCTTCTTCATGTTTCTTTGGCTGTAAAAACCAAAGTACCTACAATAAGTATGGGTCACAGATTACATGAAGATGAAATCATCTTCAATTTCTCTAATGTTTAAACAGCTGCTTAGGGAAATCAACATTGCACAAGGATAAGAATTCTGAATTTGGCTGAGGAAAAACTGAATTACATCTCAGTCATGGATTTAGTGAGGTGGTAGGCAAGACATGGAGTCCCAGTATGGTATACTGGTTAGAGCATTGGACTGGATCTTAGGAAGTCTGATTCCATGAAGTTCACTGGATGGCTGTCAGATGAACCTACTTAGCAAGGTTGTCTCAAGGATAACACAAAGAAGAACCTTATTTAATTATTATTTAAAACATCTGTATGCTGTCCAGTTGTACCACAGCACCTCTGGGTGGATCCCAATTACAAGATATCTCAAACCTTGTAAGCCACCTTAGGCTCCTTGCAAGGGGAAGACGTGCGAGCTATAAATGGAGGCTACTACAACTACTGCTATTACTAACCGTTTCATTTGCCAATCCCTCTCACCTGCCACCGACCACTTGCCTCATTTGTCCTTTGATAAGGGATGTCCTTGGGCCCAGCAGAGTTTTAAACAACTTTGATACAGGTGGGCGCTTTGTTTTGCCCTTTGAAAAAGCAGTTGCAAAAATTGAAGTGCATGATAACCATGGACCAGTACATGCCAGTTGATTACTTGCACTAGTTCAGATCACAATGCACTTTCAAAAACAAATTTCATGGAGATGAAAAAAGGGCATCAGACAATGCGTGTTTGCATGCTTCGTATTTCTCCCTCTTCACCTACCTCATGCAGGTGTTTGCTCATCCATTTGCCACATATTGTTTTTTCAACCATAAGAGAGGTTTGAGATAATTGTGTCATTGCAACAACAGCCTCCATAGCAGGAACTGGCCTAGTGTATTATCAACACAGTATCCCTATGGCTGGGCTTCAAATTGCACTAGGAATGTCACCCACAACAAAGTGCCATGGTGTTGGGAATACCTTTTGTACTTTGCGGCTACTGCAAGAGATATTTGTGCTTTCACTGGCAGAGGCACATGGCAAGCTTTGCTGAAAAACAAGTCAATTTCAAATATTAGCTACAATTTCAGCACAGAGTTGGCAAATGTGTGATATTGTGCAGCTGACATGGGTATTGTGGGGAGGGAGGGCACAACAGCAGTTTGTCTGCCAAATCCGTAGAGAATATATCGGTCAGTGATGGTTGCCAGTCCAACTAGTGTATATTATACACACATTATCTTTTGCTATCATCTCCTATTCGCTTAATGAGTTTGTAGAAAATTGCTAATAAATGGTCTCTGTTCTATGATAACCACAAAGGGATTTTATAGATGTGTGTCATTATGTTTTCCCTTGGAAAATGTCTGGGTAAATTCTTGTCTCCAATACATTTAAAGTAAAAGGTTCTGGCTAGTTCAAGCATTACAGCAAGTATTTTTGCAGATCTCTTTTAACCTGTCCTCTATTAATTGCACCTCTAACACAAATAAGTGTTAGTTGTCAAACAGTGAGAGGCTGCTTGCTTTTATTTCCCCTGGCCCCCCAAACTAAATAGCACAGTTGTAGTCAATTTTGTCCGATTTCTCACACACCATTCTCATCCAAAGTGTACATAGTCTATTTGCAATAGATCTAAGTGTACACAGCACTTGGCAAACATAGTTTCCCTTTTAAGATGTATAATTACACAATTAAGCATAATGCCTTCTAATAGTAAAATGTGATGGTGGGAAATGTGGTGTGCCAGTAACGGGGAGAGAAATTCTATAAAGCTACTCTGTTTGTAATTGCTATTTTCCTCTAGATAGACAGTGATTGATCTGTGTGTGTGTGTGTATTAGTGACATCCATGCAAAGCCTCATTATTGCCTTCAAGAGCACAAGCCCACCAGCTAGTCTTTCATGCACAGTTGTTAGAAGAAATTGATGCCAATAGGTTACAACAGTTAGAATAAATGCAATTAAAGTGTGTTGGAGTGTAAACTAAATTTAAAATAAAATCAGATTTGGCCAAAGGTTTCTGCGCTGCTGCACTGAGATAGCACCATGCTAGCTCCATGGTCTGACCAATCCCCATCCATTTCCTGAACTCTAGCGCAGCTGTGCAGTTGTTCTGTGCATGTCGGTCTCTCTCATGGTGCCCCCAAAAGTGAACAAGACTTTTGCTTTTAAAGTTTTGATGACAAGTGGGGAGTCTAAAGTTTTGTTTTGTTTTTGCCTTGGCTGATGTCTGACAAACATTTGGAACATGCACTCTGCATGTGCTCAGTTAAATTCTTTTTATACACTGCTTTTTCAGTTCAAGGATTAAATTTCAGCAGCTTCCGGGAGACCTGAATCATACTAAACAATGATTATTACACACCATGCATTGATCTCGGTCTCCAGGCATCTTGATTCAAAGCTGATATTCTTACACTGCAACTATTGCAACCACCATTTAATGGAAGAATCCATATGAAATCCACCCTATGGATTCTAGTCCCACTGTAACTATTGGCCCACTCTCTGATGAAGTACATAGTTCACCCAATATCTGTCTTTTGGATTAGAGTGTGTGCATTCCACATTGCACTGACCCCCGTAGCATGTAGCCTGGCCCAGACAAACACAGGCAATTAATTGCACAGAGCAATGCTTCTCTGGTTTGTTAATCCCCTATCTGGAACGAGACAAGATGGGTGAAAATGATCTCCTTCTGTGCAGTGTGCATGCTATCAAAGGATATTTAATGACTGATCTGAGAGGGAAGGTTTGGGACCACTCTTTTAGCAAGGCCTTCCCAAGTAACTGCGCGATTTCCACTTTGGTGGAAATATACTCCAACTTAACCTGCGGAGCCAACCTTTGCCTCTTTAATGTACCTGTAATGCAGCTAATTGGCATACATTTGTGGGAAGGTGACAGGGCGGACCTTTTCTTATTCCATAACCAGTTGTTTCCTTTCTCTGTTCAAAGTGAGCCAATTTCACGGGGAACATGTCGTATTAATTTTTAATTATGAGCACAAATTGCAATGTTTCATATCACCAATTAACCCATATTATGAATGTTAGTGGGTGTATGCAGCAGAATGTAGCTGATGATAAATGATACAGATAATAAGTTTGCCACACGTATGATGCAATCCAGATAGAGGAAAAAGCTCCTTGACAAAGGGCAGAGGATTGCAGGGAGCTGCCTTTATTTATTCCAAATGTGGGAAAATGAATTGGGATTCCAGACAAGCAGCTTGCACTGCTACTTACTGAAAGGGAAGTATTTTGGCTCTTTAACTGTTTATCTTGTCCTCTTTTTTGAGGCAAGGAAGAAGAGAAAAATGAAAGAAAAACACAGGAGCGTTGCAAATGGAAGATGTTGTCTGGGGCCCTCATCAAATTCCACATTCTAGGCAGGGCAAGCCTCATCTGGAAGCCACCACCTTCAGCTTTTTGATTCAGAACTCTGATATTGGAGCTTCCAATCCCCCTGAAGCTCTGTTGGACACTTGTGGGCAGGGCAGAGGAGAGCACAGAGCCATTTTGCCTTCTCCCCACACTGCACACTTTGGGTTTTCCTTGAAAAATGGGACCATGCATTAAGGAGTTCTAAACGTGGCCCCATGCTGGGAATCTGGCCAGGAGCTGAGACCTATGGATACAGAACCATTCCCTCCCTGCCTATTGGCACACCCAGATCATGTCTCTCTTCTCTTCATCCTGACCTCAGGGGAAACTGCAAAAGAGATTTCCACAGTGACTCCGAGGAGCTGGGAGAGGAGACCCATGTTCTTCTTCAAGTTCAGATCTGTCTACATAGAGAAAATGCACCCAATCTTATGGCCCCTGGAACACCCTCCCTGGGACCGAGGTTTGCTTCCACAACTCAGTCTATGAATCCTTGCAGGGACTTTCAAAATTAACACCCTCCTAGAGTACAGGAAGAGTCCTGCTAACCAGACCAAAGGCCTATCTGCTTATGCAGTGCTTAGTCAACTGCCATAGGGAAGTTCACTGGCAGCATATAAATGCAAGAGTATCCACCCCATAGCTGGTGTACCCTAACATATGGCATGGGGAGCCATGGCGCCTTGGATAGTGGAGACAACGCAGAGGCATCATGATCAGTAGCCACTGACTGCCTTCTTCTTCAGGAATTGGACTAGAGGCCTTTGAAAGTCATCCAAATTGGTGCCCTTCAGTGCACCTTGTGATATTGCATTCCATAGTTCAACCCTGCAATGGTTGATGAAGTATTTCATTTTAACTATGCACTGTAAAAGTACTCTTTGTTCTGAACCTTCCTTCATTCAGATTTATGGAATGGTTCCAGGCTGTAGCAGGGCTACACTCTTCACAGTATGCATAATTCTGTACATGCCTGCAATACCTTGTCATACTTGCCTTTTCCTTTTTTTTTATAAAGATTTTTGTTAAAATGTCTAAACTAAAAACTAAAAACATCAATCATCAAATACATCGGATGTACTGGGTCAGCTCCTTATAACGTATCTTTTTTAACATTCTATAATCAAATTCAAATCAATTTATAAAAATTTAAAAACATCTTTAAATCTAAGCCAAGTTCCGTTTCTCCAGCCAATCATAAAAAAGGTCCCAAGTGTGATCGAAGTCATACTTGCCTTTTCCAACAGACTGAGACTCTACTCTTTTCCCAGATTGTCACCACACGATGACTGCACTAGCTCCTCTTCAGGACCATTTCTTATTTAACATTTTTAACCCAATAGTCAAGCCTTAATACACTCTTAGTGGTTCACAAAAGATTTGCAGAATAAAAACTTGTTCAAGTCTCCTGTCAGGATCAGAAACAACTTTTGTCCTTAAGGTGCCAGGATTACCTTGGGTTTTCCTCCCGTTTTCCTTCCTGCAAGAACTTTTACTGAGGACTTCCAAAACAACGGTCTGGGAGAGAGGAATTAAAACTCAGTGAGATGGAAGCAGCTAAAAGTTGCCTCGGCCATGACAGGGGAATGACTTCCTGGCCCTGTGTGGGTGCGTGTACAATGCAGGTTTGCTTCTGAGCTGTCCTTTCTTAAAATACAAAACCAGGAGAGGGCTGTGCATGTGCTCTGAAAAGATGGCATGTACAAAAAATACCAAATAAAGAAGGATCTTGTTTATGAGACGACATCGCTCTGAGGGAGTGGAAGGGGGCAATGGAATTAACTTTGTGTTTAAATAACATGAATGCAAAAGTGCAGGGGCAACTAGCCTTCTCCCTACCATCTTTCATTTTTACATTCAATATATTGCCCTCTTATTTGGTACTGCATGTGCATCTTGCAGCCATACTCTAGTGAAGCTTAGGAAGTTCATTGCTGAATTTATCATTTGATTCTCTCTGTATTAAAAAGAGACATTCACCAAGGAACATTTCAATCCTACATTTTAGGTCAACCCTACCTGCTCCACTTCATTGCCTGTGTACTGCACTGCCTCATTATGCTGTTCTTCCAACATTTCCAGGTTTAACTCCTCCAAGAATGCATTCCTTTCATCATCCAGCCATCCTTCTTCCAGCTGTAATGAATACATTAGAACATTACTTTAGGTTAGTGGAGAATGCCTATTAAAATAAGCTAAGCCCAAATGACAATGCCCGACTAGTTCTTTTTATACTAATGACTCTCTTTGGAATACCATGGTTTTGGAGCTCACTTTTCAAAAAGGAAGAAGGAAAAAAGATCATTAAAAAAATTGGACTCTAAGGCCTTTTATCCCTTTTTGATACAGTATCACTGATTTTCTCTCATAATGAGGGAGACTGCATGCACGGAACATTATTTCCTTTCAAAAGAACGCAAGATATACTGCATAATCCTCGAGCTGTCATGCTCTTCACTTCTAAGAGCAGCAGCTTTAAAAGGAGCCAGAGATACTAATATACGGCCACAAGACAATTGGTTTCTTCCTCTTTATCAACTTCCAGGTCTCCCTGCTTGATCCACAACAGCATCCTCATTGTGTATTTCACTCACATTTGTCTTATTGATTTCTCAGGTAAACTTCCAGTAACAGTAGCTACAACAACACCAAAAGAATAATTGATTGACAAGGTGCCTTTAAGGCACATTTTGTTTTTCAGCTGTTCCTTGCAGATGTTTTATTTAAAAAAAATCAGGAAAGCAGGACTTTAAAAACCATTGGAGAACAACTTGTCTCAATCAAAAGGAGGCTTGTTGGGCAGTTTAACCAGGGTACTTTTATACATATAAATGTCCTGTCCATGTGACCAAACTTTATAGCTAGTTGGCTAAAACAACTGTGCAAGGATATTTGTGGATATGCTGGGGAACACCAGTACTAATTTTTCATATTAATATTAGAGTTTTGGTCAATGAAGTTGTCAGGGGGAACAAAGCAGAATGCAAGAAGAGCCATGGTGGATCAGGCTATGGTTTCATCCAGTCCATCATTCTCTTCACAGAATGGCTTGTGGGAAAGCCACATGTAGCTTGTGAGGCCAATAGCTCATTTCTGATCATAACCTCTACGAAATAGTACCCAGACACATACTGCCTCTGACATGGGAGGGAGCACTTAGCCGTCAGGACTAGTACCCATCAATAGCCATTAATGAGCTGAGAGACAGTCTATTCTAACCTATTCCAACTTGTTCACTTTCCTGTAGCATCAGTAAGAACTAGCGTGACACCTTAGCATTGTGTTTGGCACAGGAAAAAAATAGTTATGGCTGCCATATTCATGTATGCACACATTAACAGCATGGGTAAGTTTGAAATACTGGTAAGTTCCCAGTAATATAATTAGTAGCTTGTGTGGAAATTACAGATACAACCCAGTTCAGCTATGGTTCAATAGCACCAGAGTCATTCTTTCTCCAGATGGTCCTGGTGTATGGCTCACATCCATGGCATTTCACAACTTTTTAATACAGTGGTACCTTGGCTCACAAATGCCTCAGCTCACGACCAAATTGGTTGTGAACATAAACTTCAGAGAAAAATTGCCTCAGTTCGCGAATTCTGCATTGGGTGAAGACCACGATTGCACCTGTCTCCCCCCCACCACCCCAGCACAATTGCACCCATCTCCCTCCACATGAGCACGCCTGCCATCGTGCCCATCTCCCCCCCCCCCGGGACCCCCCCCATTTCCCCCTTTCCCCCCCCCCCCCCACCAGCATGATTGCTATCGCACAATTATGGTTTGGACTCTCCCTTCAAACAATAACCTCCCCCCACCTAGGTTAGTGTTCTCTATTGTACTGTACTTTGTTGCTTTGTTCTTTGTTACTTTGTTTCAAATATTTGTGATTTAAAAATATTTACAGAATGGATTAACCTTATTTACATTGGGGAAATTTGACTTGGATCACGACCAATTTGAGTCATGACCAGAGTCCTGGAACAGATTAAGTTCATGATCCAAGGTACCACTGTAACTGGTTATTATTTTGACACATTGTGGCTATTAAGATTTAGATACCATAGGTAGATTTTAAGCTTACTCCTGATATTTATTTAGCACTAACTTTTTCACATATCCTAATTGTATAGCAATTTGGACTAGTGGTATCTAATAATTTAAACTATGCTTACAAACCTTACATTTTATTCATTAGATTTATATTCAGATTTTTTCTCCCACATAACTAAAGATGGTGCATATGTCTCCCTGCCCATGTTCATTCCTGTGTCCTCACAGGAATGAACATCATGGCTGTGGGTGGATTCGAACCTGGGCCAGCCCAGTCCTTGTCCGACATCCTAACACAACCTTCCTCAACTTAGTGTACTCCAGTCGTTTTGTACCAGAACTCCTATGACACTTGGCCATCAGCCATGTTGGCTGGTGGGCAGCAGATTGGAGCACACCTCTCTACTCTTTACACCACACTAAAAGTTATTCCAGATGTAACTCTCAGCAGCACTAGTACTGCGGAAGAAGAAACTCCAACTGAAACTTCAAACAACAATGGCCAATTTGCAGAAAATTAGAACTACTAGTGCTCCTTTTTTGGATGAACACTAACTGCTAGCCAAGCAGATCCTATGAATAATAATCAGCACAGAGTTTACTATGATTGTATATTACCAGAACCCTAAATCAGATGCTGAATAGTCACAACACACTAAAGACTAGCCAGGCAATGCTGCAGTCTCACTTAAAGCAATGGGGCAAATTGGTCAGGAATAATTTAATTGTAATTGATTTCAGTGGGACTAATGTGTGAGTACTCTTGTCTAGAACCGATCCTATGCTTTGATGTAACATTACTTTTTTGATTATTTCTATACCTAGCAAGGAACCCCGGAAGCATTGCTGTCCAAAAATGTGTTACAAATTAGAACGAAATCTCAAGATGGAAAAGAACAGACTAATGTTAGGCCCCAGGTATTCATTATTTGTTGTACAACTGTATCTGGAAAGATGGATACATCCCTGGTATTAAACCCCTTAAGAGCATATAAGTAGAATGTTTCAGCAAGCCATTTATAGTTTCTGAAAGTTATCTAAGCTTACAAGAGCCATATCCAAGCTACATAAACCTGAGGTGAACTGCTTTCTTCTGCTCTTTGATACACCTTCTTTTATCAGGGCCATTTAGAATGTGCAAGGCTATAAAGGCAATATATGTTTGAAACAGTGATCCTATATAACTCCTATAGTCAGGGAAGGATTCTCGGTGACATTGAATTACATTTACTCAATGTTATTTAGAGAGATTGTACAGTTGCCAGCCCTGAAAAATATCAGATCAATAACATGAGAGACAAATGGCAATATAACCAATTTTGCTGGAACCAATGACAGATGAATACAACAGTGTCAACAGAATGTCCTTTTTGCTTTGTGGCAGGATATAACAGAGCATAAAAGGAAGTACAGCTAGCACTTTGCTTCCACATTTTTCTCTCCATCTTTGGTAATTTCCTAATGCCTCTGACTGCCAAAATGTTTAAGCCACAGAGCTGCAGAACCATTTAAATTTAATAAAGGGGGAGTTATTTTTGTTACAGATCATCAAAAATAAGTCTCACACTAAATATTGTGGGGACAGTATACTGAGATTCACATGCAGGACTCGGTTTGCTGCATAGTGCAGAAATACATGGCCCTCTATAAATATGAACAAATAATACACGGAAAAGTGCAATCCTCCAAAAATAAAAAAACAAAAACCCTGACTCCTGTACTTTCAGACCCTGAACACGTGTCATCCCATGGCAGTAATGAAGTTGCCAAGAAATAAACAGTAATTTCCAGCTCCTCGTGTGCAATATCTGTGAATTTTCTTTGTATTTGTTTGTGTGTCTTGTGAGAAGTCGGCAGTCACTGACATATGATTTCATTCAGCTAGTACAATGGTAATTGAGCTCCCATTAACTTTGTTTGCATCTGCAACTACCAAATAGCAGAGGCTATCTATTCTCATTTTCTCTGTTTTGACACAAACCTTTGCATTGCTATTTTTCAGCTGTTCATTATTTATGGACGACGGTGAAGATATGTTCACTACAATGCATCCTTTGTCTCGATGCATCTATTTACACTAACCTGCATCTCTGGTCTGGCTACCAGCAATACAATTTTCTTGCATTCATCACTGGAGAGTAACGCCACTGCCTCCTCCCGGTTTTGGACATCTTGGCCATTTATCTAGAAAACAAATGAAAGTGGCACATTAGTTCCCATTTCCACAACACAACACACAATATAGAGCAAATATCAGCTCATTTGTGGCAAATGTATGGACAATGAAGCTCACACAATGGGCTCATCTTCAGCCCCCTCAGAGGTAAGTGCCTTCACTCAATTATGCGTTTACTGTAAGAGTCGTATCGATCGTTGAAGGATGGCGGACATCAGAGGAAGCAGTTATGTTCATAAATGTCCAACCTGCGCCCTGGCAACATACATCTAGCAACACAATTAACCAGCCCTTGACAGGTGACGTTCATCTTTCTACGTTCAGAGTAATGGAAGTGTCAGTCTGAGATAATAGTGCTGGTGGAAGCAAGACTGGTAATACTACAGCTGAAATCAGTCATACTAGAGGCTTAGAGAGAGCCAATTAGAGGTCCATAGTATTATCTCTCACCAGGCAATACTTACTGGCCACTGCTGATTGCTGTTTCGTTTAAGCATTTGATAGCTGTGTGTGTGTGTGCGTGTGTGCACACATGCACGTGTGTGCACATGCATACATGGTGCCAAACATCGTATCGATACGTCTAACCTGTGCATTGTGCCCCCAGAGTGGGTCCCCTGAATACAGCAGGACTTACTTCTGAGTAAATATGCATATGATTGTGATGCAAACCTGTGTTGTTGCAGTCAGAAAAGGGACTTTTTGTAAAAAGCAGAAACAAAGAACCCAGCATTTCAAGAGCAGCCTTGTAATCATGCTCCAACAATAGACAGTGTTAAGTATGTCTCAAAAGATGCAGGCAATGAAAAAGTGCCATTCAGAAATGCTGGCAACTTTGAAATACGCAGTGGCCATATTCATGGACACAGCTTGAAGTAAGAAAAGCACAAGGAAGCTATGATTGCAACTTAGAAGGCATTTGAACATGGAGCCCTAGAGTTTCAGGAAGACTTTCCCAGCTGGCACCCTCCAGCACTTGTCCACATGACTGCACCCTGGCAACATACATCTAGCAACACAGTTAACCAGCTACCAGCTGGAATGCTGAGCATTCTGAGCATGGTCATCCTAAACATCTGCTAGGCACCAAGCTGGGGGAGGCTGTGTAGAGTAGTTACCTCCTCCCAGTTCAGCTCCCAGTTCTCTTCTGGTGCGGCCACAATGAAGAGCTTGGAGCAATATCCTGAGAGGAACTCAGGTGGGGCGGTATTCAGAAGGGATGTGGATTGCAGCCCCAGTCCTTTACAATGACTATGTAAAAGATGTAATGGTTATGTTTTGCCATGCTAGAAGAGCAGCAAATATTGATGACAGTTCACATGAAAGATCTGAATGGACCCTGTGTATATGTGTGTGTTGTGTGGTGGGGGAATGCAGCTGTCCCGTATGCTGAAAATTTAGCTTCACTTGTTTTTTCCGGAACTCATTTAGTATAATTCCAGTATAATACCATGTCAGCTCCCGTTCTTCTGAGTTACCTCATCTGTACGAGTGCATGCCGAGTCAGCACATTGTCTGCCCTGGAAGGCACTGCTCCCCACCTCACATCACACAACTGATTCTGCAGTACACTTACGGCTTTGACTCCAACTTGTACATCACACTGCCATGCATGCAATGCTAGTAGTCTGAGACTTTTGACTTTTCTAACAGATATCCTTGTATTATCTTTGTGCTTGCAATTTTCAAGTTGCAATAGAGATCGCATTGACATCAAATTAAATTGCAAAATGTTTGCATTTTGTACTGCTTCTGTTTCATAATTCACTCAAGAGAAGCTCAGAGAAAGAACCTAACTCCACATGAATAATGTTTCAATGTTTAGAACTGTCTTTATTCTATGATCCTAGACAAGCACACAAAACATTGCAGAATTTTATGTAGGTATCAGAATTTATTATCTTAAGAATCTCTGTTTTCATGTAGCCCCCCACAAGTTTCTAGTCCATATGAATGTAAAGATAAGCATGCAGATGGACAGATCTAGTGAAATCTAAAGCTACATCCTGATTTCTAGAGATGCCAACTCTGACCCAGCAATACATTTCAGGAACCAAAGGAATACATTCCTTGAAAGTGAGTCTGAGATCTCTGTCAGAGCTAAAGACTACCTTCCACTCACCATTTTTTTAAAAATTTTATTTAAATCCTTTATATCCTGCCCTTCACAGAGTCTCAGGGCAGTAATACAATAAAATAAAAATATAAGATACAGCATCCATACAATAATATGTAAATTAAATCAATAATATATAAAATCAATCTTAAAAACACTTAAAAATAACAAAATGTTATTTTCCCATTTAAAATAATGGAAAAATAAGGTTTTGGCCTGGTGCCAAAAAAAGCGAACTGGAAAAAAAAGTGTTGGCATCAGGCACACCTCTCTGGGCATCCCATTCCATAGCCGGGGTGCCACCACAGAGAAGGCCCTTCTCTGGGTAGCTACTCTTCTGATCTCCTTCAAAGAGGGATCCTGAAGGACCTCCACTTCAGACCTTAGAGGCCAGGCAGGTATGTATGGAAGGAGGCCCTCCTTCAAATATCCAGGTCCTAAGCCTAAGCTAAGTCATCCCTAGCACCATAAATTGGGCCTGGACCTCAACTGGAAGCCAGTGCAGATGGTACAGGACTGGCATTATGTGTGTATATCTGCCAGTCCCTGCTAGCAACCTGGCAGCTGTATTCTGAACCAACTGAAGTATCCAGACTGTCTTCAAGGACAGCCCCACGTAGAGTGTGTTGCAATAGTCCAATCCAAAATTTTCCCTCCTGCTCCTAGGAATACATCTCCCCTGTTCTTTCATGTTCAGAAACAGCAGTGCAAGGAGGAAAGGCACAAGGAAAGCAGTCTTTCTCTGCTCCTTCCTCCTTCCCATCTGCCATTCACATATGAGTAAGGATACACAGCAGGGACATGAACAGGGTAGTAGCGATCTTTCATGGGCTGCTGCTGCTACTCACAATTTGGCTTTCCTTGACTCAGGTTTTTGTTCGTATCACAAAGTGTACAGACCCTGAAGAATGCTTGCAATCTCTCTCTCTCTCTCTCTGTGTTTGTAAAAGATGGTTTAATATACAGCCCTTTTACATGGCCCATTACTTTGCAATCTGTCTGCAATTCATAACATTCCACCAACCAATCAAAATATGGTCTTGCGATGTGGGTATATATTTGCCCACATGCTTCTCCAATTGGGGAAAAAAGGGTTTCACATTCTCCACCATGAATAAAATAAAATAAATAGCACATCCTAGCACAAGCCCTGATACTGCACCCTAACTTATTATATTATATTCCTTCAAAGCAAGGGTGGTTTTAGTCAGGCAGCTTGTAGATCCTATTGTGTTCCAGAGATTTGTTTGATTCCCAGAGCTGATAGTGGAGTAAGAAATAAAGCCTTGTTTTTCCGCAAAGATGTTTCCTGAGGAAATGAAAGGACTGGTGGGATGGAATGGGATTGATATGGTAACATTCAGCAGGCCCTTGAGGAAGTTGAATTAATATCTGGCAGGAACAGGGTTGATTTTACAAAACCAACTTGCTATTATCAACAAGTATCACTGGACAAGTAAATGAAAACGATGCAGGATAGAGAAGAACAATTAGTAATTTTTGAGGCTGTGAGCACACTCAGGTGTGTGTTGATGTAGAGCTGTGGTGAAGGACAGGAAAAGAAAGAGCTATGTTACTAGAGAGAAATTTCAGATTTTTAACAACAAAAGGAATTACAGAACCCCTCCTCTTCCAATGCTCTCAAGTGCTCAGATACTGCCATGAACACAGCATTGCAATGCCATGTCACATTTTTCCTTCAAAATTTCTACTTTACTTTGATGCAGGGGAAACTGTGTTTTTATGCCAATTACCACAGGCAATCTTGGGTGTCCAAATGGAGCATCAGTGCAAACATATTACTGAAACAGAGTTGTACTTTTGGAATGGCCTTAATGAAGGAAGGTTTTAGACGTCCTTTATAAAAATGCAAGGACGTACAATGCTGAACCTGCACTTTAAAAATGTTGTTGCTGAAATTATGTGAATTCACCAGAATAAGATAGCTAGGAAAACATCTGCATGATCTTCTGCTTCACTGCATAACCAGCTGTAGAGATGCAGTCCACAGACTCCTAGGTACAACATGGTATAGAAATTTTTCTGTGGTTTTTTCTGTGTGTGATTTGTGATACCAATGCACACATAAGCACTACATGTGCAATACAAGATTGAATGTGTACACTCAGCCCCTCCTGCCCAAGATGTGCCTTGAAGCACACTACTAATAATTTGATTGCCAGATCATTTGCATTGTACACCTCATAGACACAAAACTCATTTTCCAATGAGTTTACCAATATTTTGATTTAGTACATGCTAGCTCCAATGTCATGACTTCATCTCCCTCTTTTCTTCATCTCCTCTACCCTTGACTTAGTTCATGGCCATCCATCAAGTCTTGAGGATGTCACTTCCAGGAGATGGTGGCCACAGCCAAGCCTAACTCTATGTACAGAGCAGAAGAAGGAGTGTCTTAACAGGCTACACATGTAACTAGGCTATAAATATAATAACCTTGCATCATCATTCTACAGAAACAATCAACATATGTTATTTAGCAGAAGGGAGAACTGCAGTGAAAAATGAGCCTTACCTGCAAAATCCGATCTCCTTCCCGAATCCGTCCATCTCGAGCAGCAATACTGTTTGGATCAACCTTAATGGGGTAAAAATTCTAGTATTAACTTAAAATCTAGCAAATGTGTTTAAGGCTGGATTCATGCATATATTGCCAGAGTCAATTCCCCCTCGAGAATTTATAAAAGTAACAAGACCTGGGCTAAACAAATGTATCTTTTACTTCACTGAATGACTGTCCCGACAAAATCTTGGTTCAGGAATATCTGAGGTTAATGCTTTTCTGGGAAGGGAGCCAGCCAAGCATGTGTTTTCAGACATTCCAAATCTTTTAATGTCAGTTGTTTTAGCAGGTTCTGATACCTTACTGTAAGTGGGTTTTGCTGTTTTAAATTGTTTAAAATTTTCTCTGTTAAAGATGTCATGTCATATTAAGTTTTTATGATGTTGCATTTTTGGGATGTGATTTCTGTGTACCACCCAGAGAGATTTGGTTATTGGGTGGTACAGAAATGAAACAAGTATATGAACAATATCCACCTTCAAGATCACCAGCACAGATGCATCCAGGTTTTTGGTCAGTAGTAGATAAGGAAAGGCAGACCCACTCCCCCCGAGGCCTGATTTCCAATGCAGTTTGCAAGCAGTTAAGTTGAACTGCAGGAGAAATTCCCACTCTACAAAAATGGATACACCTGCCTGTGCTCTGCTCCCACTGTGGAAGGGAAAGCGGTGGATGGCAATCATAAATATGAGCTTGTAGACCACCAGATATGGGGTGTGAAAGGTACAAGTCTAGGTCTGTTGAGAAGGCAAAACTCTGACCAAGACCTCAGCATGGGTGGCTGGGACATTCCAAGAGTTGTAGGCATGCACAGGGACTCCAAGAGGCGTTGAGGCCTTGATAACAACCAACTGAGATTCTCTTTGTATGTCTGGGTGTAGGTTTAAAAAGTTCTTCGCCTTATAATGCACTAATTATAAACAACCATTGTATCTATCAAAATAGATATCTGGGTTCTTGGTCAGAAAGGACCTGAACTGGCATCGTTTTTGTAAACCGTCTTGAGATTCTTTTGAATAACTGACAGTATAGAAAAGTCTGAAAGAAAGAAATTTCTTTAAATATGCTTATTCATTTTCTTTCATTCTTACTGTGGAGCAGTTACAAGGCCCTCAGTCCAGATTTATAGTCCAGTGTGTGCTGGACTATGGAGGCTTTTAAGACTTAAATGTATAGGAACCCCTGCACTTACTTTAGACTAAAAAGGAAAAGGGAAAAAAAGGCACAGCTGCTAGTCAGACATATAAAGGCTTCGGCGAATGGGGCAGCCGTGAAGCCTTCTAAATAAATAAATAAATAAATAAATAAATGTGTGTTTTGGCCCTAAGGAAAATAAACAGGAAGGTGGGAAAAGGGGATTCCAGATTACGTTAACTTATGCTTTATTCTCTCTCTCTCTCTCTCTCTCTCTCTCTCTCTCTCTCTCTCTGTGTGTGTGTGTGTGTGTGTGTGTGTGTGTTTAAGACTCCATTAAGGGTTTATCAGAGTCACCAAAGCTGTTCCTTGAATAATGACCAACTGTTCATAGGGCAATACGATCTATTACATTTTCCTTGATCTGTATCTTAAGCCATCTATTATGCCTTGTCATGTTAACATCCATTTTTCAAGCCAAACATTTCTAACATCTGGCTTGCAAGTAACATCTTGTACAGATGTTAGATACTATTTGTACATTGGGAATTCTTAGAGAGAAAATTATTTTGAACTGTTTCTCCAGGTATGAAAGAGAGCAATTACATAGTTTTAAATGAAGGAAAGGACTATCTCAAAAAAGGGCTAAACCCTAAACAGGAATAAGGGAATTCTTTTAAAGACATTATTTTATTTTCTCTTTATAATCGAGATAACAGTATAACAGAATTTCTTGTTACCTAATCACCCTCAGCTACTGAGCTGTGCTGAAATATTTATGGACATTCCAAATGCTCACAAGTTTTCAAAAGATATCTGGTCTAGGAAAAGATAGATCTCTACATTGTTTTTAGGACCAAATGCAGTGGGAGGGAAATAAATGCTATTATCAATGTTGCTCAGATGTCAGGATGTATGATTGAATATTCTGTTTTCTTACTTTTGATTTATAGTTTTGTCTCCAGAGCAGGCTGCATAGGTGTTAATTTTTTATCAGTGATATTCTGTAGCACTTGAAATAATAAAGTTATACATATATAGATTATTGGATGGTACAGATTATTTGGATCCATTTCAGTCTGGCTTCTAAACTGGTTTGGGACAGAAATTGTCTTGGTCACTTTGTAGATGACTTTGACCAGGGCATAGGTGTTGGGAGTCCAACCCTGTTGGTTTTCATTACTTTCTTAGATTCCCCAATCCCATCAACCGTGATGTCTTTCTTGGATGCCTGGGTGGGGCAGAACTTGGAACATGGTGTCATGATAATTCTAATCCTTCCTGGAGGCAAGAATCCAGCAGGTATTCTTGTTTGGTTCCTCTTCCACCTTCCTTCAACTGAATGTCAAAAGATTCTGTCTTGTCCCCAGTGGTCTTTATCACCTACATGATGCCACTTGGAAAAGTCATGGAGAGGTTTGTGCTACAGTGGCTTAAGTATGCTGATGATGCAAAACATCATCTAACATATCCCTATATGAATTTTGGGGAGGCTGTGGAATTCTTGAATGAGTGTTTGGAGGAAGTTCTGGGAGGGATGAAGGTTAACAAGCAAAAGCATAAACCAGGTAAAATGGAGATTCTGTTGGTAGGGAAATCTGTCAGTTTGGATAAGGCATGCAGCCAACGTGGGATGTGATTACGCTCTTCCTTATTCTTTAAATGGAGCTTGAAAATCTGAATTTTAAATAATATCCATTTGAACAAATTAGAACATTATACTGAATCACATTTTCCAAACATATTTCGTGCTTCCTCCTCCTGTTATTGCTGTTGTTCTTTTGTTGTTTTTGTACTGTTGTTTTATCATTATTCATATAACTGGGGCACCAGAACACTTGAGAGATGTGAAAAGCCATCCTAATAGCAATTTCAAGTGATATTCAGAACTTTCAGGCACTTTTCCTAATGGAAATGCCACATTTGAAGCATTTACATTAAACACACTTACTTGAAATTGCTATTATACCGTTTGAGCAACTTAATTTAGCCAGCCTGCTAACTGAAAAGGACAAGTGTTGGCAATCAGCCAGAATTTCTGTAGTCAAACCAAAGAATACTTACTTCCATCATCATCACCATTGCCATCGTTATTATTATTGGATTTCCTTCCCAAACAACAGATCTTTACCTCACTGATATAGATCCCTGTGTCCTCCTCATCATCTGTGCGGTAACAGACTGTCAACCCCAACTTTTCCTGGCTGCTAACACGACAAAGTTCAACTTCCTGCAGAAAAACATGATACAGTGAGGCACCTATTTTAAGAATAAATTCTGCTGCAGACATTACTTATACTTTTTATGGTTACTCAGTATGACATTTGTATACTTGCACTTTACCATAAATCTTACATTTTATCTCAATTGTTTGATTCATAGTCAAATATATCTTGGTAATCCTGAAGGATATTTTCATTTAATAATCCTGCATTTCTACTTTCCCTAGCAAAAGACCTTGCTTTAAACAAAGAAACCCCAAATATTTGGAAGCCATTAAGATAAATTTGGCCTGTCTTCAGTGGTGCCAAACTCTAGAATAAAAGGCTGACAATATATCACACAGTCATTTTATTTCTATCAAGCCAGCCACTGATTTACAGGACAAAGGAAAGACAAAGTATTCATCAATCAGTCAATCACATCTGAGTGTCAGTCTTCCATCTGTCACTTAATCCATAAACCAAAATCAGTTACCTGACAAATCTAATAAAGAACATACTATATTGTAAGGTGCAATATAAATAATAAGTAATAATTAGGAACATAATTCATTCCGCAAGCAAGGTGAAATTGTAGTTCTTAATATCTGGAGTTTTATTTACTGAGAAGAGCCCAGCCATTTAAAAACAGTGCATTATTGCACAACTGGAGAACTGTGAGGTTATATCTTCATTTTGCCATTTAAGGTTGAGCATTTTTGTCCACCTGTAAAACCATCAAGCAGCTCTTAGCTGCCACCACTCCTGGGCTGAACCTTGCGCATATGGAAAAACTGTTCTTCCTTCACATGGTTTATATCTTGATGGAAGAGTATAACAGAAAAGAGTGGAACTCATAGCCACCCCATAGTTCTGGGAATCTTCCTCCTGCCACAGCTGGCAAGAAAGAACTGCATAAGCTGCATCTCTGAGGTCAAAAGAGTATGTCACCTAGAAGAAATAATTCTGGAGGTGTTCTGAAGAAGACTGGCAGTGCCAAATACAACGTGGCACCTCAGCCACTTTCCCTTTCTCCCACTTTGAACTGCTGTAGAATCAACCATTCTACATCTTTCTTCTTTGCAGAATAGGAAAGTATAGAAGTGACTACTACTTCCATGCTCCTTCTGTTCTGTATAGGATGCCCATTAGTCTGCCAGTTCAGAGGGTTGTGAGCATTCCTAACGGAAATCCTTAATTTTCTTAATATATCACATTTTTGAAACTCTTCCCTTTTCCTCTCTCTCTAAAGATATATACATACACACATTATTGTATGTATTTTTTCTACCTAGACAAATGCATTAAAAAATCTGGAAATGCACAGCTTTGGCTTATGTACTGGTTCTGAACTGCAGGATTAAATATATTTGCATTTAAGAAGCCTGTCCTAACTGAATTTCCCCTGAGCCTAGTAGCAACCAGTATGAAGAGCAGGGCAGAAGGAATGAAAAGAGATATAATCCTGTTGAAGGCCTGTGAGGCTTCCTTTACTTGATTGCAAGCAGGTACCACATGTGTCAAAGGTTTGCTCTTAGACTTTAAGTACAGAATGGCTATAAACAAATGAAAATACATTCAGAGTACGGGTATCTTACAGGGGTTTTAATGCACTGAATAGTAAAAGATAAGTGAAAAGTTAACCTTCAATAAGAAAGAAAGCTACTGTTTTGGATCCAAGTAAAATAGGAGGAGCAGGAAGAAGAGGATTTTGCTGTTATAAAATCCCAAAGCATGTAATGGTTTCTTTCCTTTTCTTTCTCAATGGCTAAATGTGCCATTGAGTGGGAAAAAGCTATGCAGCGTTTTCTTAGGCTTGAAGAAGTATGAAAAGTTCTTCCTTTAGCCTAGGAAAACTGTGAGAAGAGACAAAAATAAGAACCCTATTTTTACAAGGGTTTATAAGAAAGAATGACTCAGCACCAGTCAAATAATACTCCTATTCAAAATTTGTAATAATTGATGCCTCTGGAGAAAAAGAATGGCTAATAGGATGGATAAGATGAACAAGGAATTACAGTAAAGAAAATGGCTTTAATTACAGCAGCAAGGTATACGTTTAAAAAGTAAAAAAAAAAAAAAAAACCTCTTGTGGTTCCTTTGAGACCTATAAGGAAGCCTAAACATACCATAAAAAACTGAAAAAAACAGACATTTATGTCATGATAAATGAAGAACAGTGCACAAGATGAACTTTATAAACTTGCACTCTTAGCAGCCCTTCAGAAAAATCAAGGCAGACAAGGGAATCCACCAAGCACAGAAAAAGCCCGTGCCTATCATAATGTTGTTTGGGTTTCTATACAGAGATACCAATGTTCTTTCAGGAATGTACAGCAAAATGTTCCTTTCCAACTAGACATTATTTTACATTTTAGGAGGAAGGTCAATTGGGTGAGCAAAAGGAGCTAGCTACGCAAGATGCTGCAAATCAAAGAGGTTGTGGGCTACACAAGATACTTCAAATCAAGCCCACGTGCAGTATTTTTTCTTCCAGTGCACCACCAGCCCAATGCCTTGGTTGTCTCATAACTGTGTGTGCAATGTGTGTATAGACAGCACATTCCATAGTTAGAAAGGTGAACAAAGCCATGCTTTGCTAGTAATACAGTACCACTTTCCCCCAGACGCTGTATCCCACATTTCTGATGTCGTGCAGTGTTTGTTCCAGCAAAGAGTTCCAGCCAACAGGACTCATTTGGGTCTGAGGTCTGATTTCTTCTGCCTTGATGTTGCCTGTTATAGCTTGTCCTGTCTACTTTAACTGGACTATATCTGCTTAATTTTGCCTTGGCTACTGTGATCTTTTCTTATTTAATGGATGGGACTTTATATGCTTGAACTCACTGCCAGTAGATTCTGCTGGATTCTCTGTCCACCTCAAGTAAATGCAGAAAGGCATCAACTCAGCAAGGGAGATGAAGCTAAGGCTTGATGACAGGGATTTAGTGAGGCTTCCACTGTATGCTAGACAGCAGCCTCAGTGCCATTCTCTCCTGGTCAAGGTCAGTAAACCACACTGTCCTTCATCTATTACACCAGATCGGTTCTTCCCTTTTCTATGGTTGGGTTCAAGAATGTGGTTTTCTGTATTTCGACATGATGTTCAGTGAAAACACCATTTTCAGTATTTTGCTGCAAAAATGACCTTTTAAACCAATTAATTAAAATACAATGACTCATACTGTGAAGGATGGGGATCTACGTAAAAGGTCATCTTTTCTTTCTGAGCTGGGAAAGCATATTCAGCAGAAGAGGTTATACTCTCAAAGGATAGGAGAAGAGGTTAAATTGCTCATCCTCCAGGGTGAAGGAATAGTGGGTTGAGGACTATAACCTTCTATTACCAGGTTAAAAGTCGTGATTCCCTTCAGCAACTAGGTTAATACTGCAATTTCTTCAGGTGATAGAAGAGTAGGTTGTAAATGTCATCCACTGTGGTAAAACTTTTCTTTGACTTGCTTCATGAAAGAAAAAGATTTAAGTGAGGATGCTGTAAAAGTTTGCTATAGAGTTACTATAGTGTCTTCAATTTCATGCTATATGAACATTAAGCAATCAAAATTAATTAGATTTTTTGTAAATTACATTATAATGGTGGGAAATACATATATACAAATATATATTAAAAATCTTTAGCTATGTTTTTTTTTTTTAAAATCCTTATAGGTAATAAACCTTTCAGCCCTACTGAAGATGGAAAACACACAGGAAATAATCATGGAATGAATTCAGGAGATATGTCCATGGGATACTGTATCCACATCTTGAGTCTGATAACCTCCCAACAGGCTATTAATCTTCTTATTTGAATCTTGTATTGGGGACAGGATTCTGCACTAATATATCAAAAAGCTGTATTAAAAATTTGTCAAAAGTAGGGATATATTACCAGAATATATTTTTGAATTATTTTTACCTTTTTAATGTGTGTTGATTTTTCAGTTTTCAACTATGAATGTAAATGCAACTGAAAAATTCCAATTTTTCTACATGTGCATCTTTAAAAAGAAAATTGGGCATTTTTCCCTTTAACCTGGGGGAAGTGTACTTCAAAAGGCATACTGAAATGTGCACTTTTTCTGCTTAAATGAAAAGGAAAAGAGATCACAATTAGGTTCAGGAATCCTAAGGTTCACAGGGGGGCTAAGAAAATCTTAGAGAGTGAAATATCAGTAAGTCAGTAATACTTGCTGAAATTCTATTTACAGGCAGTCACCAGGTTACGAACAAATTCCATTGCTCAGAAAATGGAAATCCGTCTTTAAGTTGAATTTGTATCCAAGTTGGGTCACATATAATCAGCCCCCCACATTTGCAGAGCTTAGGGGCAGGACCCCCATGAAAGTGGAAAAGCTGCAAATATCTCTAGGCCTGCCCCCTACCCCCAGGTCCAAACTCACCAGTGCCTTCTCTTTGCAACAAAAAATACTGGAGAGATTTTCCTCTCCGGATGGATGGAACAGGAAGGCATGCTTTGAAGGCCTCTCTCTCCCCCCTTCACATCCTCTCTCTATTTTCCACAGTATTTTTTTTAATTGACAGGCTTCATGGCAGTTCATTCCTAAGTATGGACTGTTGTTAACTCAAACGTTCATAATACGGGGACTGCCTGTAAATGTTTCCTAAATTTTCTAGCATAGCCATCAGCAGCAACACAGTAGACTCACTTCCTATAATGGACCTCAGATTCTCTAAATGTCTGTATTGTTTAAAGGTCAAAGGAAGCAACTTGGGAGTTGCCATGATCTGAGGTTGGCAAAAGGGTTCTAATCCATTGCTACCATCCTTCCCACTTTCAAATTCTTCACTTTGTAAAGCTATAAGGAAGGGGAGGATTGGCAGAGCATACTTTGGTGGATTCTCGGATTTCCAGTCAGCAGGATACTAAACAAAAGGGTGCTCTACCTGGAAACATGAAAAATCACAGCTAATCAAAGGAGATAGGGCAGAGGGAAGGCTGGACTAGATGGACTTTTGTTCTGACAGTACAGAACAACTTCTTATATTCCTATAGATTCTGTAGTCT